TTTCACCCACTTTGTATTCTGGCAAGGTATTACACAGATTATTGATATCCGAATTTGAGAGAACCATGTTTGGGTTTTCTGTAATAGTTTCTAAGGAACAGGTACTTAATTGTTCGGTAGAAATATTTTCGAGAGAGGGAGTAGAATATGGCTTAAATCTAGACTTTTCTTTTGAAATTCTTCGAGTACTAGGTGAAATAACAGCTTGTAAAGAATCCTGTGGATACTCGGAACTCATAGGAAAAATGGAATTGACTTACATAAGGATCAGACGAATCAGAAGGATTTTCATCTCCAGTACGGTCTCCAGTTTCCTCAGGTCCGTGGTATTTGTAGATAACTGCCAAGTCGTTGACACGAGCCGATGATCCTCAGGGATGTCGTGCAGCTATCCTGTTCGCAGCGCCAGATAAATTCTCGAAGCCAGGATTTTACTTTTTAAAAAATATTTATTTGAGTACCGACCGACTATTACAAAGATGAGTTATGAACTGAACTGATTAACAAAAAATAAAACCAAGTAAACTAAAAATGTCTATGTTGCCTTTCCGGTAAAGGTGAAGGCCGTTCATGTGCCGACGTATGGTTACCGTATCCGGTTGGATACATAACTCGCGCATACGAGGTGAGCGCGGTAATTATCTATATTTTATTTGTTCCTACGAGTCTTATGATATTGCGGCATTGCATTAACTGGTTCTGCAGAGTTTGTAGGTTCGTATCTAAAGCTAGTCGTACACCTCAACTCATAACAAACAGTCCTGTAGTGTATTTTTTTTTTTCGTGAAAACCTGCAGATGTGCGTCGATGGGATTTTCAGGGTTTAAAGTACACAACAAGAGCTATTATAATCAGTTATTGTAATGTTGTTACAAACGGTCTTACACCCCAGCTCCAAAGAAAGAAGTCTGTCGGGTACGGTGCGCGATACTCTCTGCAATTTAGGAAAAAAAATGTTTCGGGAAAACCTGCAGAGGTGCGTCGATGGGCTTTTCAGGGTTTAAAGTACACAACAAGAGCTATTATAATCAGTTATTGTAATGTTGTTACAAACGGCCTTACACCCCAGCTCCAAAGAAAGAAGTCTGTCGGGTACGGTGCGCGATACACTGCAATTTAGGAAAAAAAAATTTTCGTTAAAACCTGCAGAAGTGCGTCGATGGGCTTTTCAGGGTTTAAAGTACACAACAAGAGCTATTATAATCAGTTTTCAAAATGTTGTTACAAACGGTCCTACACTTCAGCTCCAAAGAAAGAAGGGTACGGTGCGCGATACAATTCGACCCTCACCATTGGGTTCTCGAAACTGTAGTCACTCAAATGGGCGCAAGATGTATATTTAGGTAATCAATAAATGCCACTTAGTTTAAAAATTCAAAGTACTTCGGGAGAGAGATGGAAAAAAACAAATTTTCTTAAAATCGTTTTAATTTTTTCCTGACTTTTGTAGTTGGATTTGAAAATAAAGTGCACATTAACATTGCGACTTGTTCTCTACAAGAAAGCATAATAATTAAAATTTCGATATGACGTTCTCCAGCATTAACTTAATTTTTTCGTTATAGACGATATATTGAATTTTTACGTTTTTTAATTCTGATTAAAAAATATGTCATGCAATCACATTGGCAAACTTTAGTTATTCCTGAAAAACAGATGTTTCTAGATAGACCTTGACATTATCACATTTCATTTGTTTTGTATACCAGAACAGACCTAAATTGGACATAACACCAGAGTTTGGAAGACATAAGAAGAGAAATAAATCGAGCAGTGAACAATGTACAGAGAAGAATACAACATAACGGAAAACATTTCTATGATTTACCTCTGCTTATTTATGATTATTATTGTTAATACCATTAATAAAATTTTCATTTTGTGTTCACATTTCGTCATATTTTTTTATTACCATTTAAATGTACAAAATTCCAATATAGCGTCCATAATATGCAAATACAAAGGTGGTGAAGGAAGTTGAAAGAAGAAATGTCGAATTCCCACTGCAGACAAAGTCAGGAAACAATTAAAATGTATTTGGGTACAGTGCGACTCATGCTTCCGGTGGTTAATGATCAGCTGTATACCCGAAAAAATTCGTAAAAATGTGGAACAATACCAAAAAGTCCGTTATGTCTGCCCTTTATGCGAGAATTATCGAATCACCATCGACTGAGAAATTAGTTAAATGACGGACAGGTCATATAGCGCTGTGAGGATCGGGTATGGCTAAGGAGAAGGAGGAGGCCATCGCTTTGCGCCGCGTTTCGGATGATACCGACCTGTCCCATTCTAACCGGCAGGATTTTTTAGCAACATACTCATTGTTAACAGTATCACACAGAATGTCGTATATCATGTCCATCTTTTGTGAGAATTACAGATTCACCATCGCCTGAGGTTTACAAATAAAATTAGTTGAATGGCGGACAGGTCATGCAGCGCTGTGAGGATCGGGTATGGCTTGGGTATGGCTAGAGGGGACGGAGGAGGCCATCTCTTTGCGCCGCGTTTCGGATATTGCTGACGTCTCCATTTGACCGACCAGATATTTGACACCACTAGCGTTATCAAAAATTGAAAGAAAAAAATAAGAATGCAGTATAAGAAATGTTTTATTAGCTTCCGGTTGGACAAGGATTTCACGGGGCATTTCAACTCACACAGCGCATACCTTAACACTTTCAACACCGCCAACGAGCCCGGCCTCTTGTTGTGTACTTTAAGCCCTGAAAAGCCCATCGACGCACTTCTGCAGGTTTTCAGGAATTTTTTTTCCTAAATTGCAGAGTGTATCGCACACCGTACCCGACAGACTTCTTTCTTTGGAGCTGGGGTGTAAGACCGTTTGTAACAACATTACAATAACTGATTATAATAGATCTTGTTGTGTACTTTAAACTCTGAAAAGCCCATCGAAGCACAACTGCAGGTTTTCACAAAAAAAAATTCCTAAATTGCAGAGTGTATCGCGCACCGTAGCCGACAGACTTCTTTCTTTGGAGCTGGGGTGTAAGACCGTTTGTAACAACATTACAGTAACCGATTATAATAGCTCTTGTTGTGTACTTTGAACCCTGGAAAGTCCATCGACGCACTTCTGCAGGTTTTCACGAAAAATTTTTTTTCCTAAATTGCAGAGTGTATTGCGCACCGTACCCGACAGACTTCTTTCTTTGGAGCTGGGGTGTAAGACCGTTTGTAACAACATCACAATAACTGATTATAATAGCTCTTGTTGTGTACTTTAAACCCTGAAAAGCCCATCAACGCACTTTGTGAAATTGTGGAAACCGTAAATACTGTGAAAGTTTTTAGGACACCAAAATGTTCGCATCATCTAATCCTGATTATTCACTGATTGGTTTATATATGTAAACAAAGTTAATACTTGAAGATTGGAGTTCAGAAAGATGTAATGTAGGAAAAGCTGTTCTTTTCAAACCTCTCTTGGTTCCAGGCATTTCATCACTTTTAGAAAAAATTAAGTCACACCCTCACACCCCAAATTGCTTTTATAAATTTGTTCGTGATTTTTATTGTCCAAAATTGGATTTGCTCGATCCACTTGTTGAAAAGAGCGGTATCATATTGTATCAGTACAACCAGGCACCACGCACTTTTTAAATTCCCGCTTTCGATAAGCCTCCATTACAAAAAGTAAGTTTGTGAAATTCAGTTAAAGCTCAATGAATATCAGTATCACCGACACAGAACTAATAAAAACGCCGGCGCCGCACACACACACGCACAAATCACAGAATACTTTCGCAGACGATTCAACTTTATATTCAACGTACATCAACGTCAAAGCATTGAACTGTCAAAAAGAACGGAAAATCTAGTATCAGCGCCACTCTGTTGTTACACTCCGTACTAAGTATATAAGAATATCTGGTTGCCTACAAAACGTACCTTCAAAGTCACTCATTTAACTTTTCCTCATAAAGTAGCGTTGGACACATGCATTCCGTCAGCGCTCTCCCACACGATGTAGCGAATGGCCATGTGTCCAGCGCTGTAAGACCTTCGCCACATCGTGTGGGACCGATTTTATAAAGAAACCTATTAAGTTCAGTTAATCGAATTTAAAAAACTGGTTATTCCATTACCCGGCTAAGTTTGCCCATCCCTATTTGCTCATCTACCCTCCACCCAGTGTTGCCGATTCTACCAATTTTTTGGTATTTCTACCAAAATACCGAAAACGTTCTCATTTTCCACGATTTTTTTTAAATGATCCAGATTTTTTACCGAGAAAGAGCTGAAACCAAAAATATGTCTAAAAAATAAATTTCATGTAGTTTTATACCCCAGACTAGTCATACGTAAATAAGCGTACAATTGGGCAGTTTTTGTATTGGTTTCTGTATTGTTTTCTGTGTAAATCCGGTACAGACTGGTAGATCATCCTCATTATTGCATCACCAGACAGCAATAAGGCAACCAAAGCTCATCTGTATTTAACTGAATATTAAATTAAAATGTCAGGTGATAAGGCTTCTAGTTCAGGAATGAAACAGAAAAATATTCAGAATATTATAAAAAAGAATGGCGAACGGAGTTTCTATGATGAGTTGCAAAGGAGTTTGAAGAAAGAGCAGTATGCTCATTGTACAAGTTGTAAAAAAGGACATAAGTTTTTTCAGGAACAGATGCCCTCAAAACCAACCTGTGTTGTGTATGTGTGCGCAATACAAGAATATACTTTTCCCCATAGAGCGTGCTGCGTGGCTTTATCCATCGCTGATCTTGTGACGGCCCTGATGTTTTCCTCCTACCAATTTTGTTCTTGAATCTACCGAATTTCCACGACGCTGTCTACTGCTTTAGTCTTTTTCCGTTCGGCAACATTGCCTCAACCCTCCAATCCTATCATGTGCTGTGCTGTCATCCCCAGTGGTCATCCCATTTTGCGGTCTTCTCTGTGTGGAGTCTGTAATTATAATTTGCCTACCTGCTCTAACCTCTTCCTGCTTTTTACCTTTTTGACTTTTAAGGTTCAAAGTGCTCCCAATAGAAAAAAGGTAATTTAAAACGGTAAAAGCATATTATTCTGAAGCTGCTTGAAAATGTGTGACGATTGGGATGACAACCCTGTGGTAGTGGCCAGTCCCGTGGAAACCCCCAAATGGTGCAGTTCACAAAATGACGAGGTAATTGATGTTTGTATGTTATAGATTTTGTCGGTAGGGACCTGGTTACTATACATGTGACAGGTGAACATTTGTTTTATATTGCATACTGGTTTGTTGTAGATTTATTTAGCATTAATGCTACAATATCCATATCACATAATATTTAATGTTGGTGATTTTTTAGTTTAGCTACACCAGCCTTTTTTGTTTCTCTGTCCGAATAGACACTAGCTTTGGGTTCAAAAAGATGGAAATGAGATTTAAAATGCCCGCAAATGGGTTAGTTGCAGAATTTTGTTGATATCAAGGTTTTAAAGAATATAAACACCATATTTCTGTTTTTTTCCTTTTGTTTTTCTAAGATTTTTTCATTTTGTGCTGTAAGTACCATGTAAGCTATACTACTGCTTTTTGCCCTGTAAATGCTACTCACTGTTGGGCAATAAACACATTATTATTATGATTACTCATAACAAGATTACTGGCATGGGAATGGGCAACAGACTATGCATGTATTTCAATCTCAAAGCAAAATAGGTTGCAAATTCGTCTTAAAAGCTCAACAGCAATGTAATGTAATGGAATATGAAAATAAATACCAAGTGATGATCAATGAAATAAGAAAGTTAAACAGGTGCAAACAATTTGAATACACCACTGTATATTTAAGAAAATCTTATAAATGTACAAATGAACAGGATCGCTTTTCTCTCATTTCACTCAACATACTACTAGTGTGTCTACTTCTACTATCCGTTTTCCCTAAATTTTTGAACTTCCAGTTTCAACGACCTAGGACTACAACTTCTACTATTGATTTTTTAATTACTTTGTGCTGTTTAAATTCCTACTGTGAATTACTAACATTTTTATGCTAATTGAAAGAATGAACCTGAAGCCGAGGTATGCATCAAATGTAAAACAGAATTTCATGGAGACAGTGGTTACTATAAATGTGATTCATGTTTTGGGAGAGTTCATAAGGATTGTGTCAATTTAACATCTTCTGAAATTCGATGTATGCCACTACAGAAGAGGGTTCTTTAGTTGATTTGTGATGAATGCAAGCAATTAATAGCAAGAATGCCCTATATGGTGAAAATGATGGAGGAAATTAAAAGAGAATTAGCAGATTTGAAAGCAAACTACAGAAAAGACACTTATGCAAATGTGTTAAAAAATACAACATCCGCGCCGGATTCCATTAATAAGCCTAGTCTGCCTACCATAATAATTAGGCCTAAAAGCCAACAAAATATAGGCAAGAATAAAGAGGAGGTGCAAAGGTTGATAAATCCATGCGAAATCAATGTTGGAATTAGAAATATTAAGGAAACTAAGAAAGGAAATATTGTACTAAAGTGCGACACAGAACTCAGCAAGACTCAAGAAATCAGCAGAAAGTAAACTAAAAGGTAAATATAAAGTTAATTTACCAAAAAAGATGTTACCAAAAATTAAAATTGTAAGATATGTGGGTTATAAGAAGATAGAGGAGCTTGAAGAAAGTATAAGGAAACAGAATACAGATGCAGTTGAACAGACACTTTAAGATACATTATATTAGAAGACATAAAAATAAAGATGCGGAATGTTCAGGAAACTTATATTCTAAAATAATGAAAAATGAAAAAATTTACATAGACTGGGAGCGTCTGCCGGTGTATGAGGATCTGACTGTATCTAGGTGTTTCAAGTGTCAGGGCTTTCAACACAAAAGTAACCGGTGTCTTAGAAAGCAAGTCTGTGGAAACTGTGCAGGGAGTCACAATACCACAGAATGTGAAAGTCAGGAGAGGATGTGTGTGAACTGTGACACGGCCAATAAGCTGTATAAAACTAAGTATGCAACAGATCATAGTGCATTAAGTGCAAACTGTCCTTGTTTAAAATACCAAATTGGAATCTTGAAGTCCAGAACTGACTATAAACCTTCTTGTCACAGAATGCACATTCATTGGCTTTAACTGTGATTCATGTTAATATAAGTATCAACAGAAATTTGGATAATTTTCTGACTTATAGAGTCATATAAGCTAAATAGCTTTGACGTTATTGTTTTCACGGAAACCTTTCAAATTGTGTCTATTAAGAACTGTAATTTACCTGGCTACCAAACTTTTTATAATGAAGGTAATTACAATAAAAATGATGGGGTTATTGTTTTTGTTAGGGATGGTATTAGGGCGAATTTCTCCAAGTGCCAATTAAGTATATCAAGGGCTAGTTTAGGTAGACTCACGTTTGAAAGGGATGGGGTTTTGTATGGTATAACATGAGTTTACAGACCACCTCCAATATCAAAGAAAGAATTCACTCGTGATTTGCACACTTATTTGGAGCATAATAGTTCTGCTAATATTGAAATATTTCTGGGGGATATTAATAATAATGATAATCATCATTATTCGTTGGTACCAAGGTACAGAGATATGGAAGTGATACTTGGAAATGGCAAAGTTCAGCTTTCATTCCTATAGAGGAATGGCTGGTCTTCCACTTAACCTAACAAAACCTACTAAACTAACTTAAAAGCTTAAAAGTAAAGATATACGAGTAGTATATGTTACCGTAGTAATATTCAAACAATAGCCTTTTTGAAAGCATGAATAACTAATATACAGGGTGACTTCGAAGTTGAGTCATTTATTTTAATAGTGAGTAGATCTGATCAAAAGAAATGTTTTTTCCTATAACATTTTTCTGGTAAAATTAGAGTAACAAAGTTATAGCCCTTTAGAAGTTTGAGTACCGCCCTGTCTCAATAATAATATTATGTGAAAGAATTTGAAACGCTTAGCACGATATTTTTACTACAATTTTATTCAGTTGTATTCAGTCAATGTGTCAGTCGGTAACGCGTGAGTGAATAGTGGTGTTTGTTGCGTGGCTCAAACGAAATAAAAAATGGCACATGTTTACGAAAATGCTGAGCTTGTGGACATGATTCTTATTTACAAAAGCACCCGACAAATTTCAACTCAATTGGCGATTAGTCAATATAAAACTTGGAAAACTCTAGGTGAAAATCAGTTCTATCCGTTTCACATACAAAAAGTGCAGGCCTGACAACCGGAAGATCATGAACAAAGGGTTGACTTTTGCAATTGGCTTTTAAATAAACATCAAAATGATGACAATTTTTTAAATCATATTTTAGTGAGTGACGTTTGGGCTATTGAAAATTCCCATGAAATAAGGGAAACCAATTTTCAACAGCGATTTGAACCAATCCACCTGTGGGCTGGAATTGTTAATGGAATTTTAGTGGGGCCTTTTGAATTACAAAATCGCTTAACTAGTGAAAATTATCTTGATTTCTTGCAACACAATTTGCCTGGTTTACTGGAAGATGTGCCTTTAAATATTAGACAAAACATGTGGTTTTTACAAGATGGGGCACCCCCCCATTATGCAAGAAATGTGCGTGAATTTTGAATAGACAATTTAATAATCGTTGGATCGGGCGTGGCGTTTTGTACCTTGGCCGCCAAGGTCTCCGGACTTAAATCCTTTAGACTTTTGTTTGTGGGGTTGGCTAAAATCTCTAGTGTATAAAACACCGGTTAATACACGCGAAGAATTACGTGCTCGAATTGAGGAAATGAGTACAGTGATCAGAAATCAACCAGTGATTTTATTGCGTGCTTGTAAAGAGACATGGCTAAGACGCGCCCAGCTCTGCGTCGCGCAAAACGGAAATCATTTCGAACAGTTTTTGTGACATGCTTTTGGGCGCACAGGTCCGCACTGAAATACTTGTCGGGAGGATACTTTATAAAACACGGTAACATTTTTTTTATTTTTACACACACATATTTTGGTTTATCTTCCTTCTACAATTATTATCTGAAAATTAATGACAACTTCAAAGTATATAGAAGAAATGAAAAAATTCACAGAATACAAACAAAGACATAAAGAAAAGAAATTAGGGAAAAGCATACAATGTAAGGTAGGTATAATCATATATATGTAATATAGGTATGTGCATAGAAACAAAACATTTAGATATTCGATGTTATTAATTATTGTAGCGAGATCTCAGAAAATGGAAGTAGCATTTTGAAAAATTATATAGCGATTTGGATTTCAAGTATTGAGGGACAGCGTTATATATTTTGGAAATGTTATAAGAAAAAGATCTTTCAAATAGAGCAGTATGATGAGCTGGTGGTGTGATCGTGGTTTTAGACCTTATGTTTATATTGTGTGCATCTTGGCGAAGGGTTATTTTATTATATAAACTCGAAGGAGTTTTCATAGTTACAACCTTATGATAAAAGCATGCGCTATGCAGTTCTCGTCTATCTTTCATATTTAGCCAGCTTGTTTCTACTAACTTATGTGAAATGCCTTCTCTACGTCGAATTCCATGGATGAGTCGTAAACACGGGTTTTGAACCTTTTGTATTCATTTTGAATCGTTTTGGTCTATACACTTACTATACAGAACGTCACAGAAGTTAAAATGTGATAGCACAAGAACATTTGTTAATAAAATTTTGGTATTCATATTCAACAAATCTCTATAGCCATGGATACTTTTCAGGTTGCTGAAAGCCTTTCTGATACAGTTTGTTATGTGATTTTTAAAACGCAGGTCCTCATCAAGAAGTACACCTAAATTTTTTACTTCATTTTGCCTATTTATTGTAACGCCATTGATATTAATATTTATTCTGTTCGTAAGAAGATTCCTCATTTTTTTTTGGGGCCAAAAATAATATAATTTGACTTATCAGGGTTGAGGTACAAGGAGTGCTGTTTGGAGATATCGGAGATACTTTTGAGATCAGAGCATATTTGAATACAACCTTCATCTACTTCATCTGGGCGAAACGAATAAAGAAGTTGCGTATCATCCGCATATAACTGTAGTTCTGAGTATTTGACAGATTTTGGAAATTTTGATGTATAGACAATATACAGTAAAGGACCCAGTATTGATCCCTGGGGCACACCTGCAACTACGCCCAGAGCATCCGACACATTCCCATTTAACACCACCTTCTGCT